TCTACAGTGAAAGGAAGGACTGGGTTATTTACTTTGGCCTTTTTGGAAACACAGGAAGGACCAATCAGCTAAGTGCGCTTAGTGCTTGGAAAAAATCTTTCTTTCCTTTAGAGACAGCATGAAAAGTCAGCTGAGTACAAAACATAGAGAGGAAAACAACAAGAAAAGAGGCAATACATAGAACAAATAATGTATCTCTATTCTATTAAAATGTCCATATCTGTATAATTGGTCTGATTAATGTGTTGCCTTCTCAATTCAGAGGGCCCCCTGCCTGTCTTTGCCTAGGGCCCCAAATTTCCTAAATCCACCCCTGGTCCTGCAACAAGATCATGAAAAAACTGAAACCCTCTAGTGAAACATCTGCATATTTGTGCTTACTTTAAAGGGGAATTGCAATAAAATTGCAATCGCAATACTGGTTGAAATTAATCGCAATTTTTTTCATAACGAGATCTAAAATCTGGAGGCTTTGCTCGTCTTAACTGTGTCTCTTCCCTTTGTTTTCTTCAATCAGGTGATTTTTGAATTATCCCCAAAACAGAGACTGTGGCAAAGGTAAGAGAAGTTTTTAGGAAAACTTCCATAACGTATTTAGATTTCACCTCTGTCTAAATGTTTGTTTAAATAAAATATTTATTGTGTGGTAAAGAGTAGCTAACGCTGCTTTTTAAAGAGAGTTAGTAAAGGGGCTAGTCGACTGATCCATTGTTGAAATCATTTATACGTGCATTCTAGATCTAGCAGCAGTTTATGTGACTAATGTTCGTTTTGCAACCTCCTCCTGTCCTCCAGGACGCTGCACGTCCTTCAGAGCAGGCTGAGGGAGGAGCACGCTCTGCAGGAGGTCCTGTACAAAACGCTGCTGCAGGGAGCTCCTACTGCTCTGCCGCCACGGTTGGTCTCCATTAGGTCTTTGTAGATGATTTCATTGATAAAACACGATGTTTAATATCTGGTTGTCGGCGTTGTAGGGAGGATGCAGCCGAGGAGACACCGAGCGCCTGCAGGATCCATGGACATGTTTATGTCAATAAAGTGGCAGGAAACCTACACATCACTGTAGGAAAGTAAGAGACTGTGCAAATATTTGAAGAATCCTCTTTAATTATTGACCCCTCCCCGTCCCAAAAAAGTGTTATATCAATGCAGACATTTTCTAATCCTTTTTAGTTATCTTAAAAAAAAAAAAATAGTGGGCATT